CTGAGTAAAGACTAGAGTACAGGCCAGGAGAGTAGTAAGCACACTTCTCCCTAGATCATACAACCTTCAAAGCACCAAAAACCTCTAGACCCCTAGAACTAGCTCTGAAAACAACAGCAAGAAAGACCTGAAGCTAGTGACAATGCCCCCTCCACCCCAGGAAGAGAGCCCAACTTTAACACAAAGTTAAAAGTCAAGAAATAGATTGGAAAATGAGCAAAAAACAAACAAACAAAAAAACCTAACCTGATCATAATAAGATACTATGGTGACAAAGAAGATCAAGACACAAATTCAGAAGAAGACAACAATGTCAAAGCAGCTACAAGCAAAGCCTCAAAAAAATGTAAATTGGATACAAGCTGAACAAGAACTCATGGAAGAGCTCAAAAATGATTTTAAAAATCAAATAAGAGAGATAGAGGAAAAATTGGGGGAAGAAATGAGAGTAATGGAATAAAATTATGAGAGTCAATAGCTTGGTAAAAGAGGCACAGAAAAAAATACTTAAGAAAATAACACCTTAAAAAACAGAATTGGCCAAATAGTAAAAAGTGACATAAAAATCCACTGAAAAGAACTCCTTAAAAAGCAGAATTTAAATACAAGACTCAAGAGAAGCATATAGAGGTAAATATGAAAGAGAAATTATAAGAGATTCAATAAGGTTAAACTGTTTACATTCCTGCATAAGAAGATGATACCTTTAACAGCTAAGAACTTTGTCAATATTAGGGCAGTTAGGAGTATACATAGACAGAAGGCAGTAGTGTGAGTTGAATATGATGGAATGGTATCTAAAAAAATAAAATTAAGGGGTGAAAAGAAGGAATGTACTTGGAGAAAGGGGAAGGGAGAGGTAGAATAGGGTAAATTATCTCACATAAAAAAGGCATGAATGAGCTTTTACAGTGGAGGGGAAGATGGAGGAGGTAGAGGAAAATGCTTGAATTTAACTCTCATCAAAATTGGCTCAAAGAGGGAATAACAGACACTCTTAGCTGGGTATAGAAATCTATCTTACCTTATAGGAAAGTAGGAAAGAAGGGGAAAAGAGAAGGGGGGAGGGGCTCATAGAAGGGAAGGAGGATTGGGGGAGGTGGTTGTAAGAGGAAAATATTTTTGAGGATAGGCAGGGTAAAAAGAAAGACTAAGATAAATGAGGAAAAATAGGATGGAAGGAAATAGTAATCATAACTTTGAAAAAAATTTACAAGTTTCTCTGAGAAAGGTCTCATTTTTCAAATACATAGAGAACTAAGTCAAATATATAAAAATACAAGCCATTCTGCAGTTGATACACAGTCAAAGGATATGAACATGCATTTTTCCAACAAAGAAACCAAAGATATTTATAGTTATATGAAAAAATGCTCTAAATCATTATTGATTAGAGAAATGTAAATTAAAACAAGTCTGCGGTACCACCCCCCCCCATCAGATTGGTTAATATGACAGCAAAGGAAATTAACAAATGTGGGAGGGGATGTGGAAAAGTTGGGACACTGATACACTATTGGTAGATTTGTAAACTGATTCTACCATTCCGGAGAGCAATTTGAAATGATGTCCAAAGGACTATAAAATTGTAAATACCCTTTGACTCAGCAGTACCACTACTAGGTCTGTATCCAAAAGCGATTTAAAAAAAAAAAAAAAAGGGAAAGGGACCTATATGCTATATGTACAAAAATTTTTATAGTAGCTCTTTTTGTGGTAGCAAAGAATTAGAAGTTAAAGGGATGCCCATCAATTGGGGAATGGCTGAACAAGTTGTGGTATATGGTTATGATGGAATACTATTGGGATATAAGAAATGATAATCAGGATGCTGTCAGAAAAATCTGGGGAGACTTACATGAACTGATGCAAAGTGAAGTGAGCACAACCAGGAGGATATTGTATGCAGTAACAGCAATATTATATAATGATCAACTGTAAATGACTTACCTATTCTCAGCAATTCAATGATCTGAAGTACTTACAATGAAAAATTCTATCCACTTACAGAGAAAGAAATGACGGCCTCTAAAGGCAGATTGAAGCATACTCTTTTTTAACTTTCTTCATTCTTCTTGGTTTTTTTTTCAGTCTGTGTTTTCTTTTGCAGCATGGTTAAATATGGAAATATGTTTTGCTTGACTACACATGAATAATTTATATCAAATTGCTTGCCTTCTCAAGAAGGGGGTAAAGGGAGGAGAAGAAGAGAATTTCTCAAAATTAAAAAAAAATGAATGTTAAAATTTTTAATATATGTGATTGAGAAAAAAAATAAGCAACATTAAAGTACAGTATATCAGGCTCCAGTTCAGCTATGACAGTTGGGGTCCAAGAGGAGTCATCAACAGATATTTATTAGTACCTATTATATGCTAGGCACTGTGCTAAGCTGAGGACACTAGGGGCAAAAAATGGTCCTTGCTCTCAAGGAGCTCACAGCCTAATGGTGAAGACAAACTGCAAACAACTACATACAAACAAGACATATGTAGGATAAATTTGAGATAATCTCAGAGGAAAAGCCTTAAGATTAAGGTGAATTGTAAAAGTCTTCTTGCAGAAGGTGGGACTTTAGCAGAGACTTGAAGGAAATCATAGAACCCAGGAGACAGAGATGAAAAGGGAGAGAATACCAGGTATGGCATATGCAGCTGATCAACATGCCTGGAGTCAGGAAAAGTTAGTTCAGCCACCTGGTGTTAAAAAGATGGCAGAACCTTGTAATCAGTTTATAATTAACCCACCCCATCACCAAATCAAAGCTGATGTCCCCACTACTTTATACATACACATACACTCACACACACACACACACACACACACACACACACACACACACACCACTTAGGCTTCATATTTTGAGAATTTTTACCCCTTTAATGGCTTCCCTTCCCTTATAAGCTTCCATTCATGTTCAATTTACCTGATAGCATCTGTAAAAAAAAAAATTGAGACTGGAGGTAGCAAAATACACAGCATGAACTCCTCATAGTCCTACAGTGATCCCTGCTAGAAGTCACTTTTGCCTGAACTATCCAGATAATTGAAGCCAAAATGCAAAGGGATTGTTACTGTTGTTGTTTTCATTGGAGTGCTGTTTTCTTACAGTCTCAGAAACTACTTCTGCATTGCAGTAAAAAATGAAACTTATCATTGGGGTTTCCTGCTCCCAGCTGAGTCTCTGACTGTAGATTTTGGCACTAGTACAACTTGTCTTCTCACCCTGGTCCTTTCCTAGGTGCCTGGGGCCTTCTACCCCTGGAATATCCCTTCCCTATGCTTGTCCCTTTCTACTGCTCTAGAGGCCTTCATTTTGGAGAAAGGCTTAGGGCCCTAGGCCTTCTGACCTTGCTTCATTCCCCTCCTGGCTGTACTTCAGACTCTTAGGACTTTAGCACCACGTCCAAGCTCTCCCAACTAGGTCCAGGCTCCAGTACTTTCCTCTGCCTTCACCACCTTTTCAACTCCCTTTTGTTGTTGTTTTTTTTTCCTTATTAGAATGCATATGCAGGAACTGTCCTTTTTCAATGCATTTGTACACCTACAGCTTAGCCTGGTGCTGGCACATAAGTGCTTATTAAATTCTTTTTGCCTTGTTATCTTGCCTTTCCTGGGTCCTATTCTTTAGGAACTTTCTCTTTCCGCCTTACCAATATAAATATCAGGAGCTTGGCAATGGCTTTATGGTTTGCCAGACAAAATTTAATTCGCTGCAAACTAGGTAACTAAATTGTCCAACTGCCAGACTGGCTACCACATTTAGAAGTTAATTAGAATTCCTGCATGATCTGCTTTCTCTTAATAAAATGTCAGGGGCAGTGCCAGGACCTGTGATTTCATTGGTACAGAGCACTCTCAAGTGAGGAAACTCCCTCTGCCAAGGAAGAGCTGGGCCTCCTCAAGTCAACAGGCATTGTAAATGCCCATTATGTGCCAGTGCTATGCTACGTGTTAGGCAAAAAAAACTAGACTTAGAGAGTTGTCTGGACTCTGGAGCACTGAGAGGTTAAGCTCCTCACTTGCCCAGGATGACACAGCCAGTATGTGTCAGACATCTTCCAGGCTTCAAGGATGGCTCACTAGCCAATTGCACTGTTATTTATTTTTAAAAATCCCCATCTCACTCATTTGGACATGGCAATATGGGATTTTTTTGACTATGTATATTTGTTACTAGATTCTTGTTTTGCTGGGGAGGTGGGGGTGAGGAAGTAATGGCGGGGAGGTGGGAGAAAAAAAATAAATGCTTGATAAATGGGGGAAAAATTAAAAAAAAAATACCAGACTATTACAAGCAAAATTCAGTGGAAAGGAGAAAGAAGAGGGCTGTTTTAGGGTTCCTGTAGAGTGAGGTTTACACAATAGTTATTAATGATGAGGTCAGAAAATTATTTAAGTAGGACCCCAAATCTGGCATCATGTATGTACGTATGTACGTGCGTACATGTTTGCGTGAACAAGGTCAGTTTCGTAGGGGGATCCTCTTTGGGGAAAGGAAGTCTAGAAGGGTTTCAAGTTTTTGGGTTCCCTCTGGCTTTTGCCCTGCAGGAGCTAGGTCTTTTTGCGGCATACAGCGACTCCCGCCGGTTCTTCCGGCCCGGCGCCGGAACCCTCGCTCAGGCCTGGGGAGACCCGAGGAATCCCGCAGCAGGAAATCCAGAATCATCGGCAGTAGAGGGGAGGGAAATGACGCACTGAGAAGGGGCGTGGCCACCCGCTCGCCGGGCAGAGAGGGCGAGGCCTCCGGGGCTCTCCGCCCTCTTTGCTTACCACACACGCCCGCGGAGCCTCCGCCCCGCGCAGCTTTTGGGGAAGCAATGGGAGCCGAAGGACTAGGAGGAGGGTGGAAGAAGAGAGGGGAGACGCGCCTGTGGGAGGAGCCGGGGAAATTCCCCCGGCGGGGCGGGGCGGGGGCGGACTCCGGCCGTCAGCTGAGTCGCTCGGGGCGGGGCCAGGGGCTTCACAACAAACGCTGCTCTGCCGGCTCACCGGGTCCTCCAGAGCTCCCCCGCCAGCCCGCGTGCCCGGTGGGCGGTGTTTCTGGTCGGCCCCCACCCCCTGGCCTCCTGGGATGCAGCCGAGGAAGCTGTGACCCGGCCGATCTGCACGACTGCCCGCGACCGCGCCGGTAAGCCGGACGAGGGGTAGGGCCACCTGTCCACGCCCGAAAGGAGGACCCGGCTGGGGCTGTCGCCGTCCGGGCGCCGGGGATGCGGAGGGCCCCGGAGGGGCGGGGGGAGCCAAGGAGTTGCAGGAAGAGCGCAGTACTCTCTGTCCAAGGTCTAGGGTTCAAATCCCTCGTCCGTCGCTTCCTACGGCGTAACCTTGGCCTCGTCATTTCACCTGCCGGGGGTCAGGGTTCCCCCGTGTACTAGGAGGGGTGACTCTGGGTGACAGGTGCGTTCCAATGCCCCTTCATTTCAGGAAATCGAAAGTCCCTCCGGCCGAGGGGCGGGGCAGGTGCCGGCTCCCCGAGGGAGGCCCCTTCCGGAGCGAGGGGCTCCCGGCCCCTGCCCGCCACCCTCGTGGTTCCCGAAACGCGCGAGCCGGACTGTGCCTGGCCAGGAGAGGGGCTCCTGCGCCCGCGCTCCGTGGCCACTCGGTGCCGGGGACCAATCCCGGCGGGCCAGGCCGTGGAAAGGGACCAGGGCCCCGCCCGAGATCGTGCTGGTGGCCGCCTTGGCATCCCCGCAGGGCTGTGCCCACTCCCGGGTGCGCTTTGGCCAGACCCGAGAAACGATGCTCCCCGTGGAAGCCCCCGAGGATAAAGACGTGTTTCTGGGAGGGGGAGCTCCTGTAAACGAGGGACCCAGCAATGGGATCTGACTGCTCAGGAAGGGAGAGGGAAAGCAAAGCCACCTGGCCTAAGGAAAGGGGTCTTACGGGGTTGTCACCGAGAGGCTCTAGGAGGGATGTAGTGGGAAGGGCATTCACTTCACCTGTAGTCTAAAGAGCCGACTTCTCTACCAGTTGTCAGGAAAGCAGGGTTCATAAAACCTGCCTTACTAAAAATGTCATCAGGCTCAGAGTAATAAGCTGTTGAAAGGCAAAGTGCTGCTGATTTTAGTGAATTAAAGGTTACCCTTCAGAGCCAGAGACCCTGGGGTTGAGAATGAGGAAAAATCTAAAGCTTGAAAGCTGTGCCTGTCTGCAAGTCACTGTCCAGTTTGGATTATACTAGAAAGTTCTGACTGGGATGGTCAAGACCAGACTATTGTCATGAGCCTGAATAAACAAATGAACTTTAAAAAAAGTGTGCAGCTCAGAAAACAATAATGGCATTCTTTGGTATTTCTCTGCTACCACTTTTGGTAAAATCAAAATAAAAGCCAAAACAAAAGAATTTCCTTTTCAGGCCGTAAATCTAAAGAATTTATCACCAACTAAATGAATCCAATTAAATACAAAATGAACAACTCAGGCACTTATTAATGTGCTAGGCACTATGATATATGCTGGGAATACTAAGGACAGAAATTGAAACCAGCTTATATTCTATCCAAGGAGACAACATGCATGTGCATATGTTTTATATGTGTGTATGTAGATACACACAAACATATATACATACATCCATACATACATATGGAGAGACTGTACTCTGTGTGTGTGGGGGGGGGTTAATACTTTTGCTAGACATAAAAAGCAGTGCTCCTCTAGAACCCTCATATCACTTAGGACTATGTGTCCATCTTTCTATCAATCTATTTGTCCATCCATTTATCTCTCTGAAGGTATATAGATTACATACATATATGTATGTATATACATATACACACAAGATATCCCAAAAGTCTTAGTACATTAAGCTTTAATAGCTTAAAACCTGCACTAAGCTTTTGGCATACCTGATATGGGATGTATTTTGCACATATATGTAAAATAAATATATGCAAGTTAAACATAAGTTAATTTTTCTGGCGGGGAGAGTGCAGGGAGGAAAGATAGTAACAATGAAACTAATGCCTTGCCATAGAACTTTAGTGAAACTAGGGAAAGCTTTGTGTAGGAGATAGCACATGGTAAGATGGAAAGACAGTTTAATTTGGAGTCAGGGAACCCTAGCTGGAATCCTGGCTGTTATCCATGTGATACTAAGACCATCTTAACCTCTCTTAATCTCTTTGGACCTCAGTTTCCAAATCTATAAAATGAGAGGGTTAGATTAAATAGTCTCTAAGGTCCCATCTAGCTCTAAATCTGTGGTCATTGTGGGTGGCCCCTATGCTGAGATTTGAAAGAAATTATTTTGAGGCAAAGGTGAGGAGTTAGTACATTCCAGGGATGGAGGTCAACCTGTATAAAGGTCTTAAAGTAGGAGATGGAAAGTCCTGGGTAAGGAAGAGCAAGAAAGCCAGTTTGGCTGGACTATAGAGTTTGTAAAAGGAAGTAATATATATAAGCCTAGAAAGGTAGGTTGGATCCAGAGAAACTTATATTTGGTCCTACAGGTGATAGGGAGTCACTCAAATTTCTTGAGCACATAACATTTTTCCCTATGGAGCAGAGGAGGGACGTGGTATCCTAGGCTTGGTCTGACTCAAGCCAATCCCCTGATAGTTTAGATTCAATAGTGGAACAAAATGAACACTTGCAGGTGATTCAGCAGTTAACACAAGATTGATTGTGCATCGCTCCCATGTCTAAGTTGTGCATTTTGGTCAGCCAAGCTTTAGAGAGCTCCTGGAGCTCTTCCTGGATGCTTTGTACTAAAGTAATCAGGAGTGATGTCATCTTGACCCAACCAGGCATCCAGGATGGTCTCAGTATCTTTTAAGGAAAAATGAAATTCATGGAGGCAAGGGTTAGTGTGAAAGTTGAGAAGTGAGTGCAAAATGGAAAAACTTGAAGCAGGGAGGAAAGTGATAAGTCTGTTTGATTTTTCCAGCCAGCATGTGATAAAGGCTGAACTGGAGTAGAGGCTACTCTAGATAGAAGGGGATGGATGTGAGAGATGTGGTGGTAGAATAGACAAGACTTGGCAACTGATTTATTGAATAAATTCAAGACACGTTGCTAGGTACTGTGGACAAAAAGAAAAACAAAAGAGTTTGGTTTTGCCCTCAAAGAGTTTACTTTTTAGTGGGAACAGCATCTCTGCAGATAACTTATTACCAAGTAATTTTTTTGAGAGAGGAGCAATAACAACTTGATTCCTTGAAAGATGTTTGTGTTTCATGCCCCTATACATCCCCCCCATTAAGAGGGTATTTAATGGAATACTAGTTACGTCTTCTCTTCCCCTCCCCCCCAAAAAAACCCTTTCTGACTTGTGACCTTAAGCCGCAACAGGTTCTTTGAAACTAATAAAGTAATAGTATGAATTTCTTCTTGCATCTCAGTGGAAATAAGAATATATATCAATATATGTATATATGACTTTTTTTAAAATTCTGGGAATGTTTACCATATAGTAGCCAGAAGATAAACTGACAATGATAATCCTGATTTCTCTTTAATAATAGCCCCTTAATTGGGGTCCCTGGCTCCAGCTTGCCCCATTCCAACCCATCTTCTACCCAAGTGATACTCTGAAAACCCAGGTGTGACTGGGTAGCTGCTTTGCTCAGAGATCTCCAGTGGTTCCCTACTGGCTCTAGAATAAAATACAAACTCCTGTTATTTCCCCGTCAGGACCCAGTCTGCCTTTCCATACTTGTTCCTTATTGCCTTGGGAGAACCGCATCCCAGTCAAACTGAGCTGCTTGCTTGTACACATGATATTCTGTTTCCTACCTACAAACCCTTGCTCCTTTATGCCTAGCATATCCTGTCTCACCTCAATCTCTTACAATCTCTGGCTCCCTTCAGTTCTCAGCTCCAGGGCCATCTTTTGCATTAGGCCCGTTACCCTGCAGATGCTGTTCCTCCCATAAATTTGTTTTTACTGGGTATATATTTTTTTATCCAGTTATCTATCTCTTTCCCTCCTCCCCAACAGGATGTAGACCCCTTGAGCAGGACTCTTTCAGTATTGTCTTTGTATACTCTGTCTGGCACAGTGCCTGACATGTAGTGGAAAATGCTTAATAAATTCTTTTAAGAATCTCAAAATAACGGACAAAATGCTAATAAAGCTTTTGCATGGGTTATTGAAGAGATAATCTGACACTGTGGTTAGAAAACTTGCCTCAGAGCCAGGAAGATGTTAAAGTCCTTGTTAAGTCACTTAACCTCTCAGTGCTCTGAACCAGTGTCAAACTCATAGTCTACAAAACGCCCAATTAAAATGTAATTGGGAAATGTTTTTCAAAAAAATACACTAGAACACAGATAATGCTAATTTGTGGTTTTCTAAGTCAATATGTGGCCTCAGGGAGCTTATTTCCCATAGAATTTGTCACCACTGGTCTAGACAACTCTCTAAGACTAAGTGACAGAGAGGGAGCTGACTTTATTGGTAGAGGAAGTTTTCTATCCAGGAAGTTCCCAGTCCAGGCCTTGTGCCTATCCTGATCCTTCAATATATTGTTTAGTCATTCATTATATGCATCCACCATAGAAAAAAATAAGAGACCAGATCAAAATGGATTAGAGGATTGCCCTTAGAGTCAGGAAGACCTGGGTTCAGACAGGCTTGCTGTATGATCATAGGGAAGTCACTTAAACTTTGAGGCAGCTCTCTAAAGCTGTTAAGTTACAGACAAGGATTTGCATCAGCAAAAGGAGTTTCCACATTTTAGAGCTCTCTACTGAGATGAATTCACAGATTTATACCAAAATAATATTAAATAAAAAATAAATGATCCCTCTCCTAAATGAAGACCACTGCTTGACCTCCTGACTTGCCTTGGGCTGTTTTTCTAAGAGTGGTGATGGATTCAGTTAAATTTAACAAACATTTAAGTACCCACTGTGTTCTTTAACATTGTCCCCCTTGTAAAAAAAATAAATAAATGAATGAATGAATACATACATACATACATACATACACACATACATAAACTAAGAAAGAAAGAAAGAAAGAAAGAAAGAAAGAAAGAAAGAAAGAAAGAAAGAAAGAAAGAAAGAAAG